TGTCCAATTGAAAGCTGATTCCAGTTGGCAGTGGAAGCAGCTCTTGAAACTCAGGGATCTGTTCAGAGGTGGTTTTGATGGATTGAAATGGAAATACCAAAAAAGTGGTGTTTACTCAGTTCAGTTTGGTTATCAATGGCTGATTGGAGGTGGCAGAGCTGATGTGAATGTAGGATGTATCTGGGCTAACTCCAATATCCCCAAGCATGCATTTATAGCATGGCTTGTTTATAAACAAAGAATTTTAACCAAAGATAGGCTTGCAGGAATGAATCTAAGTGTAGCAGAGGATAGTTGCTGGTTGTGCAAGCTTAAAGCTGAGTCTTGTGAACACTTGTTTTCCCATTGTTGTTATTCTTGACAGTTACTGGATTTACTGCGTGCTTGGTTGAAATGCAGAAGACTTGTTGATCAGAGTCTGAGATGGAAGCTCCAAGTGTTAAATATGTAGAAGAATCAGAAAATGAATAGACAGGTGTTCTTGGCTGATGTTATTGGATGCATCTATCATTTGTGGAGGGAGAGGAACAGGAGGCAATTCGAGGGGGTAGAACGATCACCTGAAATGCTGTTTACTGGATTGCAAGTGTGAAAGCCCGACCAAGCAAGCTGCTCCAAGCTAGCTGGTAAAGTGTCCCACATCGACACTTGAAAGGCAGGGTGATCAGTATATAAGCTCAAGCTGCTAGTTATACTAATAACTTGGGTTAACCATTTTGGGTACGATGAGGACGAACACCCAAATAGTTATTGGGTCAGACCTAGCAGCTAGGGCATTACAATTGGTATCAAAGCCGACCTAGTCTGGGTGCGGACCCGGCTCTGAGCTCACATGTAGGAGACAAGTACTGTGTGATACCTCTGAGCTCATAGGAGTTGTGAGACAAGTGATATGCATCTGTTCTAGGGGAGTCTGGGTCAACTGTATGTGTTGGGTGTTATTGTGTATGCTGTGTGTGTCTTGGGCCTTGCGGGGATGCGAGGATCCAAAGGGGGTGAAAGTGTGAAAGCCCGACCTGTGTGTCTTGGGCCTTGCAGGGACGCAAGGATCCAAAGGGGGTGAAAGAGTGAAAGCCCGACCAAGCAAGCTGCTCCAAGCTAGCTGGTCAAGTGTCCCACATCGACACTTGAAGGGCAAGGTGATCAGTAATAAGCTCAAGCTGTTGGTTATACTAGTAACTTTGGTTAACCATTTTGGATACGGCAAGGACGAACACCCAAATAGTTATTGATATGCTTATATTTTACCTATTTATTATATCCCTAATTTGTGATTTTTGCAATATATTTTGAGTAAAAATATGCTATTTATGTGATTTTATCTTTAATTGTAGGAATTGTACTCAAATGAAGAATTGTTGAAGTTTTGAACTAACATCGAATTAAAAGCAACTCAATGGGAAAGAATTGAAGATTGGAGCAATTGATGGGGAAGAAATTAATGAGTTTAGAGAATTGGAGGGCCGATGATGCAATTTTGGAATTTTATTTTTTGGAAATTGGCCGAACAAACGATGATGGTGCGGCTGATTTGGGATTGGAATTGGATAAGAATTTTAATCCCGATATTATTTGGGAAACAAGTTTTCTTGCTCTCCAAGAAGTAGGGTTTTGACAGAAGCCTATAAAAGGAGGATTAGGGATTTATTTTTACAACAGAATTGAACCGAAAACTGGCCGAAAACCTTACGGCTGCAAACCACTTCCCCCGCCATCCACCTTCTTGTTTCCTTCTTCACCGCCGCCGACCACCACCAAACTCCCTCCTCCTTCACCGACAGCATCATCACCATCACCGCCACTTTGCTTCCATAATCACCACTGCTGCTCCACCTTCTCCTCTTCTCCACATCCACGCACCACCTCTGCCTCTTCACCGCCGAGACCACACCTTGCTCCCTCGCCTTCGCACGCACAACAGCAGCATCAACTCCAGCAATTTCCTGGTCACGCCGCACCACTGAAGCAGCCACTTCTTCTTCTCCTTCGCGCAGCTTCCTCCATCATTGATCACCGGCGAGCCAAGCAGTAGCTTCTCCTCTTTTTGCACATGCAACAGCCAGGGAGTTCTCAGCGGTTTTTGGCTTCATTCGGGTTTTGGAGTTTTAATTATTTAATTTAGATTTTTTTTTTAGGATTATGTCTCTAAACATTGTTGAATTATTTTTGATGATGTTTAGTGGCTAAATTCTTCTAATCTAGGGCTTGGGTGTAGCCACCGAATTTATTTAGGTTTATTTAGTTCATTATTATTTGATTTTTCCATTAATATTTGTTATTCTTGTTTTAATTCGTGTAAGTAATTGGCCACTATTTGCATGTCTGAAGATATTAATCGAAGTAGCGAGAATGGAAGATTAATATTAGTTTGTAGGAATAATAAACTTAGGTTATAAGCTACAAGAGTAAGATTATAACTTTTGCAATATTTGATTCTTAATGGTCTTAATGTGCTTTTGTTAATCCCTATAGTCACGAGAGTAGTCATAGGGTTAATTTAAGTAAGAGAATTATAACACGAGAGTGAATAGTTCTTAATTAGGTGAATCGTTGTGAGATTAATGGAAGTTAAAAGTCAGATATTTGTGAATTGAACTAAACCAAATATTCGGTAGGTGAACCCAATGTCCTAGGTTTTCTTTGTCTGATTATTTGAATTAATATTATTTGCTTTTATTTTATTTATTTATTTTAGGTTTAAATTTTATAAATCTGAGATCATCATTTATCTAGATAATAATAGGAGTAATTTATACCTGGTAATTAGTATTCCTTCTCTCTGGCATCGACCCTGCTTGCTACTTTACTACTAGTAATTGTATTAAGTAGGTAATTATTATTTGACTAGTGTAACGACGGCTTGTCAGTTATTGGGCCAAACCTAACAATTGGGGCGTTACAGCAAAAGGAGCTGAAAAGCATATTTGGATGCAGGTTGCAGTTTGGTAGTAAGTTAGCTGATAGACAGGTTTTAAAGCAGTTTTTTGATATAGATCTATACATGTAAATAGCTGGTAAAGGAGGTTTTTTATTTGATGCAGAAAGGTGCTAATTACCTCATAAGTTTTGTAACAGTTAGGAATGGAATAGTGTAATGAGCTTCATCGCTTTCGTGATTTTGTAAAAATGTTTACCTTTTCACTAAAAAAAATAATGAGACCATTGTTCGAATCTGCTTAAGCCAACTCGATCAAAGGATCAAAATGTTTTGACACGCGAGGGAAACAAATTAACAAGGGAGATGTTTGAATCCTACTATTATTAATTTTGATTCTTTGAAGAGTACTTGCAAATGTGTCTTGAGCTCCAGTCTTAATATGATAGTCTTAATATGATGTGAACTCAATGCTCCAAAAATATGGTATCATTTCTGAGATTGTGATTCTGACAAACACTTGAAAGTATTGTAAATACTACATCCGTCCCAAAAAAATAGTCCACATTGAGTTTTCAAATTTGTACTAAAAACAGTACAAAACTCAAAACTCAATGTGGACTATTTTTGTGGGACGGAGAGAGTACTAAATACTTTGCAAATTGGGTTTACCACTGAATTTAAAGATATTGGTCGATCTTGGAGCTTTAAACCTGTATGAAGGAAGGTTGGCGAAACCGGGAGCAGAGTCAGGATGATATATTTTTTCCTATGTGATCATTCTTGAGAATTTGGGGATAATTGTTCTAGGGTTTGAGAAGGAAAACGAATATTTCAAATAATTTGTAATAAATGTTGATGATTAGTTACTAATCGTTTATTTATACGTTGGATAATAATTTATGCAGTTAGGTAGAGTTTAATCATATCTATCAAGAAACTGATTTCATAATCGATTATTATGCATCCTTGGCGGCTCAAGATCCCGGAGGCTTGCAATGATCAGACGGTCCACCACGGGGTATATTATCGTTGCTAGAATATAATACGATAGGGGTAATATATCCCAAAACTATGCGAATCTAGATATTTGCCTCTCTCATTGTACCAATAAAAATACCAATAAAAATAAAAATAAAAAGAATTTAACAAAATAATTCATTAAAATGAAATGGAAAGAATATTAATAATATTTCATTTTGGGTAACGAAGTGATAGCCTTAGTAGAAAAGGAAACAGGTTTCAATGTCCTAATCTTCACGTGCAAAATATATATGTTCCCATTAGATTGCCTTTGTGGATAGTCACCAAAAGTTTTTTCGACCATATCTATCTTGAATTATTTTCGCGTTCGCAAATAAATCAGGCGGTCATCTTAATACTTTTACATCAAAAGAATTTCTTATTTTTTTTCCCCAAAATATTACCTCAGAACAATACCAGGCTCCAGTTGTTTTAAGCTTTTGGTTTATTCTTGCCGGGCCAATTGTGTTAAAATTATGAGAAGAGAAGTCCACAATCAAATGGAATCAACTTTTAGTTTTCTGTCATTTGACTATCACTTCATTAATTCAACAAAATACACCACGACTTGTCCTAAATCAATTTTCTAATTTTGGGGTGTAGGAATCTTTTAATGTGCACCGTGACTTACAAAATTGGGATAAAAATGGTTTTGGGTGGGTCTATAAACCTTTTCTTTCGTGAGTGATTTCAGAAATTTATAGCTACGTCCTCTTTGTTAAATTATTTTAGTTTTTTAAAAAAAAAAATGGGAACATAATTTTTATTTTGGGACAGAGTAACAAAGGAATATGAAGGAGAAAAATGTGGAGAGATACAATTATTGGCAATGTGTTTGCAGTAGTTCCACATTGAAGTGTTATATCTTTTGATAGATTAGACATAATGTTCTTGCGTCTCCTGTTCAACCAAATTACTATGCAGAAAACAAAGCAAATATCTCATTTCAGAAAATAAAAAGAAAAAAGAAGAAGGTTAGGAGCATTAGATGCCATGCACAACAAAAGTGATGCTTGATTGAAACCTCCCTATACCACAATTTTAATGTATAAAATATTGGTTTCAGTGTCCAAAGAATTTGAAGGGTCTTCTCTGCCTCTGGATTCATTTCATTTGTTACTGAAGAATTAAACGTGAACAATGCCCCCTCAAATCTATTAGGTCATGATGGGAAGATGATGTCTGGGAATATAAACAAATCATCCCACAAAAAGTTGCTGAAAAAAAAATTGTTATTGAATTGCATAGTTAAATTCTTGAAGATTCGATATGATTTTCTGGAATTTTTCATAGTAGAAGTCCATTATAAAAAGTCAGTTGGTCTGCATGTTTTGATCAACATGGGTCACAGACTCACAGTTAACCAGCTAAGAATTAAGAGCCAGCACAAAGTTACAACGTGGGATAGATTAATGGCTAAAAGGGGTTGTCTTGATCAATGGATAACGGTAGCTGTAATGCTGCTTGTCGATTTCGCTTTCGCTGTCGTAAATGTGCTTTACAAGAAAGCCCTCAATGATGGAATGAGCAATTTGCTCCTGATCTTTTACAGGCAATGCGTTTCTGCAATTTTCTTGGCCCCCATTGCCTATATTTGGGAAAGGTAGTCGTAATATGTTGATCAGTCTATTTGCTGATTTAGGCTAAATTCTCTGTTAAATGTCAGGTTTCTAAATTAATGACTGATTGATATTGCAGGAAAAGTTGGGAGAATCTCACAGTCGGCATTGTGTGTGGTCTATTCTTAAGTGCATTACTTGGGTGGGTATTGATCAATGGTTTATGTTGCATCTTTTACTGTGTTTTCCTTGGCTGATCATTTGTAGATACCCAATGGATCTTGATATGGTGACTTGTCTGATTGCAGGGCCACACTCTGTCAATATTTCTTTCTCATCGGACTTGGATATACATCAGCAACATATACTTGTGCATTCATTAATGTGGTTCCCGTAGTTACGTTTATCTTAGCGCTTTGGCTAAGGTAAGTTCAAGGATTAGATGTTAGAACTACTACTCAGGTTTCAAATTTGATCTTGTAAAATACATTAATTGCAGGCAGGAGAAGTTGAACCTGAAAAACAGAAGTGGAAGAGCTAAGTTGTTGGGCGCAATAGTTTGTGTTGGGGGAGTCCTGCTGCTGATTCTTTACAAAGGAGTGGCAGTGATTAATGCAATCAAAACAGCTGCAGTTACAACTCAGAGTGACAAGAAGAGAGCGAAAGATTGGGTGGTTGGTTCCATTTTTCTGTTTGTAGGCAGTACAATGTGGTCATCATGGTTTGTTATACAAGCTCAGATTGGAAAGTACTTCGCGTTTCAGTACTCTAGCACCACCATAATATCTTTCTTCGCCACAATCCAGTCCGCCATTCTTTGTCTTATCGTTGACAGAAACATGTCTTCCTGGCTTCCGAAAGGAATAACACAGATAACCACTGTTATATACGCTGTAAGTAATTCCTCAAGATGGTATCTTTTCGTCTGTCTTTCTCTAGAAAAATGGTTTCGGTCAATGCTGTTGAATGTATTAAGAAAGGGTGAAATTGTTGTCAACGCTTTTAGGGAATTGTGGGATCAGGTATTTGCTACGTCGCCTTGGCGTGGTGTGTCAAGAAAAGAGGAGCAGTTTTCACCTCCGCCTTTGGCCCCTTCATACAAGTCTTTGTTGCCTTCTTTGATGTCTTCTTACTTCATGAACAGATAAACCTTGGAAGGTACTGAGTACTGGACTGAACTTTTCTTCATCTTTGAATGTGGAAATGATGAACTTGTTAATAATGATTTTTAGTATGTTGTTTGGAACAGCATTCTTGGATCCTTGGTGGTGGTTGTCGGGATGTATATGCTTCTATGGGGGAAAAGCAAAGAAGTAGACTGTCAGAAGAGTGTCGAAGCAGACGGAGGCAAAGATAATGGAGATTTCAACCTCACATTACCAGTCACTAAACCTGCAGCCATTGTCAGCTCAACAGATACTGCATCACCTTAAACTGTGATCATCGCTTGCAAATTCTGGGATTGCACAACCACTTTTACTGAATCCAACACTTCTTAACATGTAGTATTTTAGTACTTTAGTTTGTAGTTGGGAAACTTAACTAGATGGATGCAGAATAGCGTTTCCCCTTGTTGAAATAAAGCACAATATATTTTGCACCTCTGCAGTAGTTTTATTGAAAGAAATGTTCCAACAGCTGTAAAGTTAATTAAAAATCTACATAATTTTCATTTGCCAGAATATTTTTTGCTCTCTCTGATTGTGAACAAAAGATCCAAGTTTTGTTAAAAGGTCGATCTTCACCCTCATTATGAAACATTATAAATCACCAAAACTCCCAATTTGGCTGTTGCAAATTTCGTTAAAGAGTTCTGTGGACACACAACAGAAGAATTTTGATGGCAAATGAATGCTCTCATTCTTTCAGTAAAAAAGTTGGCGGCAATTGATGATAAAAACTGATCCGATCAACGACAAAAAGTTAAGATGAGTGGAACTGGTTTGAAGCCTATAAGATGGAGACATCTCAATTAGAAGCTTTAGCAAAACCAAATTCACAATTTGACCGCATATTCGTGTCTTTTTCACTTGTGTAATTTAGAGATTTTGTGCTAATATGATGCAGACCATGGAATCCCTTATTTGGCAATTTTGTTTGCAGCTCCATATAGCACATTAGAGTGTTAATTTTTGACAGAGTTGACATATTGTTCTCACATCCTATTCCAAACATTGCAGAAACGATGAAAACATCTCATTTCCAAATAAAGAAGTTAGCATTAGATGCCATGCAGCACAAAAGTACTGGTGCCTGATTGAACCTGTCCGTACTGCCTTGAAGATATACCTCAATGTAATATATAAAATATTGGCTCAGTGTGCAAGGAATTTTGAAGGTTCAAGACTTTGAAAGTCTTCTGCCTCTTCATTCACTTTTCTTTATTGGAGAATCAAACATGAACAGAATGCCCTGCAATGTATGAGGTCATGATAGGGAGATCATTAGTGGGAGATGCAAATTCTATTGGTTCCACACTCATTACTGAGAGTGATCCTACAAAAAGTTGCCAAAAAATTAATTGGATTGAACAGTTAAATTCTTAAAGATTGTATGCGATTTTTTTTGTGGAACTTTTCGTATCAGATGTCCATTATTTAAGTTCACTTTCCTAGCATATCTGCTCAGTGATCAAAGTACCTTTTCTAGCTAAGAGTTAAGAGTTGGCTTTATATAAACTGTGGGATAGATTGATGGGTATAAGGGACTGTCTTGATGAATGGAAACCAGTGCTTGTAATGCTCCTTGTCGATTTTGTTTTGGCTATTGTTAACCTACTTTTTAAGAAAGCCCTTAATGAAGGAATGAACCGGTTGGTGCTCATCACTTACAGGCAAGGAATATCTGCACTATTCTTGGCCCCCATTGCCTATTTCTGGGAAAGGTACTTACAATGATCAATCTCTTTGCTCATTGGGACTTCAAATTTTTATACATGTTTGGTTTAGAACCAGCTGTATGTTGCTGATATTGCAGGAAAAGTTGGGAGAATCTCACAGTTGGTCTTGTATGTGGTTTATTCTTCAGTGGATTAATAGGGTATGTAGTGATCAATGTCTTGTGTTGCATCATTTTACTGTGAATGCATATTTCTTAGATCTATCCTAAGTTGATCATCTGATAATCTCTGATTGCAGAGCCTCACTAACTCCATATTTCGTTATCACTGGAATTGCATACACATCAGCAACATATTCCTGCGCCTTCATTAATGTTGTTCCTGTTGTCACTTTTATCTTAGCAATTTTATTTCGGTAAGTTGAGGTATTTAATCAGTATCTCTGAATGGTATTAAACTCTTATTCATGCATAATGTGGATACATTAACAAGGTAATACAAATAATTTCAGGCAGGAAAAACTGAACTTGAGGTATAGAAGTGGAAGAAGTAAGCTGTTAGGCACAATAATCTGTTTAGGGGGAACCTTAGTACTGGTTCTTTACAAAGGGGTGCCAGTGATCAATGCAACTAAAACCGTTGCACTTCAGAAGGAAAAGCACGATGCGCATAATCAGGCTATTGGGTCCATGTTTCTGTTTGCTGGCAATCTCACTTGGGCTTCATGGTTTATTGTACAAGCACAGATTGGAAAATACTACCCTTTTCAATATACTAGCACGACTATAATGTGCTTTTTTGGTGCCATCCTATCAGCCATTCTATCTGTTATGCTTGACAGGAACATGTCTTCCTGGCTTCTCAAAGGAAGATTACAGATAATTACTGTCATATATTCTGTAAGTTAGCTGTTCTTTCTTCCCCAAAATTTTTCTGAGTCAACTCTTGGTCGATGCATGTCATCTTCTTATGCGTATTAGGAACTGATATCCCTGAGTTGTTGTTGATGCATTTAGGGATTAGTGGGAACAGGTCTTGTTTATGGAGCCTTTTCATGGTGTGTAAAGAAAAGAGGGCCTGTTTTCACCTCTGCATTTGGCCCCTTCGTCCAAGTCTTGGTTGCCATCTTGGAGGTTTCCTTTCTTCATCAACAGATAACCTTAGGAAGGTAAATCTTTCTTCCCAGAATCATTTTCAAGATATTCAATGGAAACTCTGTGAGCAGCCCTTTATCGTAATTACATGATGTCGTTAGCTCTTACGATCACAAACTTGCATATCTTGGCAAGGTTTTGAAGCTGCAATGTTCTATCAATGATTTTAGTATGTGTTTTTTTTTTTTTTTTCTGGAACAGCATTCTAGGATCCCTTGTAGTTGTTGTTGGGATGTATATGCTTCTATGGGGAAAAAGCAAAGAAGTAGACCTTCAGAAGAGTACTGAAGCAGATGGAAGAAAGGATAATGGAGATTGCAACATCACATTACCAGTAACTAAACCTGCAGCCATTGTCAGCTCAACAAATACTAGTACTACATAAAAATAATCAAACCTTGAATTAAGGGGGAAGATCAATCTCTGGATTGAAGAATGCTCAATTGTAACTACCTAACACCACCGAAGCAATTCTGTTTTGCGGAGGAAAAATTGACTCAGTGGATTCCAAAAGATTATTTCTCCCTGTCAATAAAGCATGACATGTTGCACCAATGCAAGTGTCATTGATCCCAGAAGTGTTGATTCGGTTGGTTGTATTAGCTCCTGACAATCCTTCCGTTCTAAAATGATTATCATATCTATTATTATTAACCACTACTATATAATCATATATTGCTCATTTGTGTTTTATCCAAATTTATAAGATTATATTAATAGTTTCTAGTGATATATGTTGTTGACCACGTTAAACATTCTTCAATCACACTTCACATATACTCAAATGTCTCAACCATAGTGAAGAACAGAACAGTGACTATGTGCTCAATGAATAATTCGATCCAGTTGATAAATCAAATAATTAACCTCTAAAGTCTAAACTGAAGTTGCCATATACAACTTCAGTTATAAAAATGGAAATTCTGATGTTGCCTTAACTGATAGATCAGTAAATGTAAATTATGTCAATTTTTATCTAAACTTACTCGTTCTTATTTTAAAGGATCTATGCATTTCAAATGGAGGCCTATCACGGAAACAATCGGCACTTTTCCGTGGTCTTTATTTCAATTACAAAATATTAAGGGGCCAAATAATAAATTTTCTGGATTTCGTCAATTTTTCATGGTGACCCCTATCCGTTGGAAAACATTATCATCTGATAGAGTAGGCAGGAACACCAAACCTTCATCACTGCCATGGCTTCTTCAATTCTCTCCTTCTCCTCCCCAATCCCAACCAGAAATCTAACCCTTCAGCATCCCTCTACCCAATTCAAGGTAAGCTTTACTCCACATTGTGCAAATTTTTTTGTTTATTTTTCCCGCTTTCAAAGTCTCAATCTTCTTATCGGTATCTTGATATGCGAACAAAATCCAGAATCTCTTATCACTTCTGCTCATCCGTTCATCTTAACGATTTTCAGGGGAATGTGAAGTTCTTGAAGCCAAACCCAAGTTTGGGTTTTACCTCAAGTGTCAAAATTGTGCATTCAAATACTTCTAACCGACGAGCACCCTTCGTAGTGCGGAGCCAAACCAGTGCAGGGTCTTCAATTCGAGCTCCTCCTTCACTACAAGGTGTTCGGTTTAGGTTGAATAACTTGGGGCCTCAACCTGGGGCGACCAAGAAAAGGAAAAGAAAGGGTAGGGGTCACTCTGCAGGGCAAGGGGGAAGCTGTGGTTTTGGGATGAGGGGTCAGAAATCAAGGTCTGGTCCTGGAGTTATGAAAGGGTTCGAAGGTGGTCAAATGCCTCTCTACCGAAGAGTTCCCAAGCTTAGAGGAATTGCTGGAGGTATTTTGTTTAGTCTCTTCATTCTCTTCCTATACACTATTAATGTGTTGTGTTGGGCCTTCATGTTATTGCACTTTTTACGCGTAGTTTCTAGTGTTTTTGGATTCTGTTTTGTGCATCAAAACTGTTTGGAGTGTTTTTAGATTCTGTTTTGTGCGTGAAAACTGTAAGTTTTTGGGGCGATTATGTTAATTTGACAAGAGAGGCTAGCTAAAGTGAACAGTATTTCAATGAGTGTGCACGTTATGCGTTCGCGAAAATGTTTTGTATTATACCCTGCTTTCAAGTTTCTTTGTACAACTTCTGTTGATTTCTTGGTGAACACAATCATGAGTGGCAGCTGCGAACCTATCTAGGGGATTAGGATTGTTGTTTTCCCTTCTTAAACATTTAGGTTGACTTGCTCTGCACAAATTTTGATAATGCAATCAATACTTGAAATTAATGATTGAATTATTCCAGTCATTACACTCTGCATAGTTTTAGGATTCATGCTAAGTAGCAGATTATACTCCGAAGGATTCTGACTGCGTGCATTTTATGTTCCTTAGCAATATCGTGTTGGAGTGGAAAGTTGAGTCCACTTAGGTAGGAGTACTGAGTATATTGATAATGCACTGCCTTAATGAATTTCAAACTCAATTGTGTCTGTTTGTTCAGTAAGTTAATTCCTCAGAGGTTCATGGTAATAAGAAAATTTCATGTAATAAATTTTTAGCAAATTCATGTAACTTTTATGTTGTGTTCTTAATTTATTTGCTAATAAGAAAATTTCAATATTCATTGGACGAATAAATCTCCGGTATTCTGTCCTGATTTCTTGTAGTGCACGTTTTTTCGCCAAATTGATTGATGGCTCCCGTTTTCTTTTTCTTTTTTTTTTTTTTTTTTTTTTTGCAATCTCTCGTCAGAAACCTTTTCTTCTCTCCCTCACTTGGCAGTGTATGACATACTTTTACTTAGTTTTCTTCCAGTCTCGACTACACCAGTGGCAATGTTTGTCTCCTGTATTCATAGTGATCAGATATTACTTGCTTAAAGTATTCCATTCTCTTATACATTAATGCGTCTATTAAAGCTAAGTACCAGATTATGCTGAGAAGAATGCTGAGCTCGACCCTATGCGCATTTCACGTTCCTTATGAATCACCTGTTGGATTGGAAAGTTGAAGTCTACTTAGGCCACTGTACTGAGTGTATCAATATACCCCGTTAATGAATTGCAAACTCAACTGAGCCTGTTTATACTGTAACTTTGTCCCCCAGAGGTTGTGTTATTGTATAAAAATAAACTTTAACAAATTCATGTCATTTTTTAGTTCCCTACATAAAATTGTTGCTAACAAGAAAAATTATACATTCATTGAGAGAATTAGATATCTGGCATTCTGTTCCTGATTTCTTGTATCATACTTCATTTCTCTTTATTTCGGCTTGGTTCCCCTAAGTGGTTAACATGCTTGATTGGTGGTTGGTTTTTCTGCATTTTACTCTCATTCTTTTACATAGTTTTCTTCCAGAATGACTTAATTGGTTCACCACTGACAATGTTTGTCTCATAAAATAAAGTGATCAGATATTTTACATGCTTAAAATATTCCATCCACTTCCAGTTTCATACCTCTCTATTTCACCTACTCCCATTCTAACTGAATTATGTATTTTGACCTAATCATAGGTATGCACGCGGGATTACCAAAGTATTTGCCCGTGAATCTGAAAGACATTGAAGAAGCAGGATTTCAAGAGGGTGAAGAAGTATCTTTGGAGTCTCTGAAAGCAAAGGGTTTGATTAATCCATCTGGAAGAGAAAGAAGACTTCCTTTGAAGGTATTGAAAATTCTTTCATACTTGAATTTTGTTGGTAACATTTCAAACATACTCATGATTGTTTACAGGTACTCTTACTATAGATGAAGCTTGAAATCGCACAAAAACATATAAACATGCGTATGCAAATTCATAGTTGTGGCCTGAACAAATCTCAATGATGAAATGGTGAAAAACAGCACTTTAGGACAGTTGAGAATAATGGTACCCCCTCCATTCCAAAAAAGGAGAGTTTGTTAAGCTACCAGACTCTTTTTTGGGCGGGTACATCTCCGATCAAATTGTTGCTCTATGGTGTAATAATGTTGCTCAAAAGTGCAATTTCACTGCCTGTGCTTTAGATATTAAATACTTACGAATGAGAATGTTTGCTTCCAACACTTAAAATTATCATCTTCTTAATCTAGTCTTTTAAGAAGTTTTTCCGTTTTCTTCTGCAAGTGAGATTCTTGATAATCCTTTATCATTCTGATTGTAATGCTGTTTTACCGCATGATCAGTTCCCTCTTCTGTTATTATGTTCCCTCGTGTATTCTTATAGGGTGAGCTGCTGTAAATATTTTGCAAACTGTTCTCTTTATAATACACCTGCGTGGAATGCAAGCAGATTCTCAGTTTTTGAGGAAGTCTTAATTTAATAATAGTAAAATTATTCATCACTATCCTGTGCTGATTGTTTTTCTCCATCTTCCTCTTGAACAAGCATGGATATTAATCATTTGCTCCTAAAGTCAGATGGAATTAATAAAGTTTAAGTATCTGGGTGATGTAGCTTCCCTGTCCATGTTGTCAATTGAAGCAATAAAAACACTTTATTCGACAGCAGCATTTCAGGCAGTTGAATCAAATTTGTTACTTTTAATCCTGCACGATGTAAATTGATTCTAAAGAACACCTTGTAAAAACTGTTCCTTTTGTGTTGGGTTTGTGGCTGTGTGTTCATCTGAATCTTATCTCTGCTTAGTACTATGCTGACCATTATTTGAGTTTGAGCTTTGGTCTGCATTCCTGTTTACTTGTTTGCTCTAAGGCATGATTACCGTGAACAGTTAATTACCATTTCTATACAAGTATGAGAATTTAGAACCCACCAAGGAGGCATGCAAAAAACAGAACAGTCAATTTAGTGGTGGTGATTGATTCTTCTTTTATGTTGGCACTGGCTGAAAAGCTTGGACCTGCCAACAACGCAGCAAGCCTAACAAGCCTTTTTTTGTTTTTGTTTTTCTTTTTTCATTATAATTCAAATCTGCAACGGGTGCTCAAAGCTCGGAACAGTTTGTTCAGCTTTAGCTGATACCAATTTTTGTTTCAGATATTAGGTGATGGAGAGCTGAGCGTGAAGCTAAACATCAAAGCCCGAGCCTTTTCGGCATCAGCAAAGGAGAAGCTTGAATCTTCTGGATGCTCGTTGACTGTTCTTCCTGGACGAAAGAAATGGGTGAAGCCATCGGTGGCCAAGAACCTGGCTCGTGCAGAAGAATACTTTGCAAAGAAAAGAGCTGCAGCTGCGGCGGCGTCAGCTGATTCCTGAAAATCTCTTTTTGGGCTAACCTCACAATGAGATGTTGTTGTCACTTTGGAAATAGATGTAAAGCAAAACTATTCACGACATCTAGAATCTTTGCCATCTTACTTTCATATCCCTTTTATAATGAGAAGAATATTAGCAACTTTGCATCAGCTGTTTCTCGGTGGATCCGATGGGGTGAAATTTTGTTGATTCTTTTTTTGTTTGTGGTCCACTTGGGTAGCTGCAAATTGGTGACTTCTTACCTCTTGGGGATGGATTTATGACCAAACAGCAAATACCCAGGGAATGTGGAGCTGCAACATAATGGAAGCAAGCTCAGGGGATGATGGATAATGGGATAATATCCACTCTCCGTCACAAGATTATGATCCTTATATTCCCCATTTTCTGATTTCCCAAGTTAAAAGAACATGCATCTTGTCGAGCTGCACTTCTTCTATACTTATATATATATTCGTTAACAGAAAGAATTGTTCTTACGCAGTCATCACCCTAAGAACTACTTTCAGTTTAGAAAGTAAGAAAGCAATTTTTTATGCGTCCACTTGGAATCAACTGGGGGTACAAAAAAAAATAAAAATATTTTCTCTCCGTTCTATAATTATTGTTTAATTTGTATTTTCATTTTTAGTTCAAATTATATTAAAAGTGAAATTTCAAACTGGACAATAATTTTAAGACGGGGAGGATTAGTTATTAGTATTATTACAGAAGAATGTGAGCTAGCATATCTCTGTTGTTAGAATAGACCCCAGGAATGCACTTTTGCCAACTGGATTTGTGGCAATTAACGACCAGATTAAGGTAATTGAAGGAAAATAGTGAGTGGACTTTTTTGAAGCGAAGAAGAATGAAGAAAGTGATTGGGAGAGAATAACGAGCGCCAGCTGAGCATGTGACAGAATTTACTATTAACACGAGCCGTGCCTTGTCTGTAAATGAAAACGATGTTTAGTCCCACAACTGGCAATGACTATTCTGTATCAACTAAAATATTATTAACTCATTTTGCCCATTGAGGTTTCCTTTTCCATAATTTTATAATTAATTAACCAAAATTATTCTTTTCAATCCTTCCCAACAACCCAAAAAAAAATCTTTATTTATCTCTATACCGATTACTAATGTGATTTTAATAACTATTTCCTAGTTCACTATTTTCAAAATTTTATTTTGTTAAATTAAATTGGTAAGTATGTAATGCACTGATACAAAGTTGATCAATTACTAAAAAAAGAAGTTAATAGTTTATATGTGACGTTTTTGTGTTACATTAGTTAAAATATTTGACGCGTATCGTGATAATCAACTATGACATCCAAACCAAATAGCGGGTGAACGTATTTGTATGTAAATGATTAAATATATATATATATATATTATTTGAATAGTGTCACACTTAGCGTAATATAAAAATCTCCTTTGTGGTATTTGTGACCAATCATTCTCCTAATAGTCAATCTAATTAATGGAATATTGTTTTGAACAAGTCAACTTGAAATAGTGTAGGAACTTTGCTTAAATGTGCAATGATTACATATGTCTTAGCAAAGAAGCATGTCTTTTGAGGCCTTTTTTGATGAGATTTGAGAATCACATGCTGCTAGATTATGTTGCCTGTTGTTCGGGTTTGAAGTAAAGGGCGGATTTGTGCAACTCCATTTGTCCAATCCCTGCCCTAATATTTGAGATCAAATTCCTAATTTTAGACCCAAAACCAAAAGATTAGTTACTGTCATAATTATGAACTAAGCCCCATAGCAATCATTCAACATCTAAACAAGCTCATTGAGCTCATGATTATAACAAACATTCCTGATTTTTTTTAACCCTAGCAATATACCCCACCATTAACTAGCTAATCTATACTTAATGACTTGTTCGAAAAAAATTATGAAAAAGTACTAAACCACAAATTGTTACAACTTACAAGGGTTACCAAAAACAAAACAAACAAGACAACAACAAAAAAAAAAAAAAACCGTAGTTTGGAAAATTTACAGACAACCCCTGAACTATATAAGGACTGTTCATATGTTTTATAAACCATGCATTTCGCCTTTGTCGCAACAAACTATCGCATCGAACCCTTTTCGATTCCCTTAGTAAAAACGAATTACTAAGTTGTATAAATATGTTGTCTGAGACTTTCACACTTAAAGTTTGATCACAAATCCCTGATCCAACAATTTTTTTATCGTGATCAACTCAAATAGTAAAAGTTGCTTCGGGTAATATTAGTACGTAAGTGGCATACTGACACTAGTTAGTTTTTTTTTTTTCTGGTTAACCAAAACAATATTGTCATGATCATTAATCAATTGTGGAAACGGAAATCAACGAAGAAGAAATGGGGCGGCAAAGACGGCTGTGTATTCATTCAATCTGTCGTATGTATTACGATGAAGTATTAGGGTTAATATATATCAAATTAGGGTTAGCGTAGTAACTAGGTTAATTTACAATAATTATTAATTAATTTAACCCAAATTACTTTAATACCCCCTCAAGTTAGAGTATGGGGATTTCGAATGCCCAACTTGCCAAGGAAAAAATTAAATTGAGACTGGTCCAAAACTTTTGTGAAAATATCGGCAAGCTGCACCTGAGTAGGAACATAATTGGGAAGAATAGTGCTTTTGAGAATTTCGTCTCGCACGAAGTGGCAATCAACCTCAATATGTTTGGTGCGCTCATAAAACAAAGGATTGGCAGCAAGATGTAAAGCTGTCTGACTGTCACAAAAAAGTTGAGCTGGCTGAGAATGCTCAAAACTAAGAAAAGACAGTAGACTCCGAAGCCATTTGAGCTCACAGACAACAGATGTCATAGCACGATATACAGCTTTAGCAGAAGAGCGAGCAACTATTTGCTGTTTCTTGGTCTTCCAAGAAATAGGCGAAAAATCCAATTGAACAAACCAACCAGCAGTAGACCGGCGCGTGATAGGACAAGTGGCCCAATCGGAATCACACCAACCAGTGAGCCTAAGATCACTATCAGCCCAAAGAAGAAGACCTTGACCTGGACTACCCTTCAAGTAGCGAACAACCCACAAGGCAGCATCCCAATGAGCCTGCATAGGTTTCTGCATAAACTGAGCAAGCATTTGAACACAATAGGATAATTCAGGTCTAGTGACTCCAAATAAATTAAACGGTCAACCAATCTCCGATATCTATCAGGATCAGGAAGGGGGTTATCCTTAGCTAGCGGAAAGCTGACAGGCTTGGCTCCTAACAAACCAACCTCGGATAGAATATCCAAAGTATACTTGCGCTTATACAGAAAAATGCCAATCGAGTTGCGAGCAACCTCAATGCCCAAGAAATATTTCAAAACTCCAAGATCCTTCATATGAAAGAAACGACTCGAGTAAGTCTTAAAAGACTGAATAGCAAGGCTGTCATTACCAGAAATGATGAGATCATCTACATAAACCAAAACTGTAAGCTGAACGGTAGAGCGACGTAGAGTAAATAGAGAATAATAAGAAGAGGATTGTTGAAAGCCATACCGGCGTAAGGCAGTAGCCAGTTTAGCAAATCAACAACGAGGCGCCTGGCGTAGCCCATACAAAGAACGACGAAGGCAGCAAACCTTGCTCGGATGAGCTGAGGGAAAACCCGGAGGCAGGCACATATAGAGTTCCTCATCAAGATCTCTGTGTAAAAAAAAAACCATTGTGAACATCCATCTGATGGAGTTCCCAAGCTTTAACAGCCGCAATAGTAAGCAGAGTACGCACAATAATCATCTTGGCAACTGGAGCAAATGTCTCATGATAATCCAAACCCTCAATCGGGTTGTTTCCAAGAATAACTAGACGAGCCTTATATCTTTCAATTGAGCCATCAGAATGATGTTTAATTTGGAACACCCATTTGCACCTAATAGCGCGTTTTTCATGTGAAAGTGCCTTTAAGGTCAAAGTACCATTCTGTTCGAGAGCCTGAATTTCGGTGCGCATACTATCACGCCAGTGAGGATGTTGCATAGCCTCTATAAAAGTACGAGATTCAACACCTGCAGTAATACTGGCCAGAAAAACACGATGTGTCGGAGAGAAGAGTCACAAGTTGCTTCTGAATAGGATACAATGCACCCGAGGAGTCTGACGAAGGGGATGAGGTGAGAGAGTAAATGAGAGAACAAGTAACATGAGATGAGAAGTCCTTAAGACGAGTGGAACGAAACTTTTGGCGATGCCCACGGCTCAGTTGTTCTTCCTATTGATCAGACGAAGAGGAACCCCCTATCCAGAAGTATCACTAGGAACAGGCTCGGAAGGAGTGGAAGTGGAAGGAGATGAAGAGGACATAGCAGTAATAGGTGCACTCTCATCATCATCAAGAATAGGATCAGAAAAAGATGGACTTCCAAACATAGAAACAGGCAAAGAAGATTTCTCAGTCATAGAAGAATATGGAAACTTAGACTAAAAAAAAACGACATCCCAAGAAACAAAGAATTCCTTGGTGTCTAAATCATAGACTCACCAGCCTTTTTTCCCAAAAGGGTATCCAAAAATAGATAATGTCGGCTACGATTAGAAAATTTATCACCATGTCGATTTTGATTATGGGCATAACAGAGACAACCAAAAATCCACAAATGAGACATAAAAAGTGGTCTGCCATATAAAATTTCACACGGAGTTTTACCATTCAGCACACTAGACGGGGTACCATTAACCAAGTACCCAGCTGTCAAAACACACTCACTCCAAAAATCAATAGGTAAATGCGCCTGAAATCGTAAGGCACGAGCAACATTGAGAATGTGTCGGTGTTTACGTTCCACACAACCATTCTGTTAAGGAGTTCCAACACACAAAGTTTCATGTAAGATGCCATGTTGACGGAAATAATCAGACATACACAAAAATTCAGTACCATTATCAGTACAAACAGATTTTACAACCTTATCAAACTAATGCGCAATCATGATGGAAAAATTACGCAAAGTAGAAGGAACATCACTCTTTTCAACCAATAAATAGATCTAAGTTGTACAAGAAAAATCATCAACAATTATCAGAAAATAACGTGCACCAGAAAAAGAAGGAACCCGATACGGGCCCCACAAATCACAATGAATAAGCTGAAAAACATCAAGAGTCTTAGTGACACTAATAAGAAAACTATGTCTAGATTGTTTGGCTCGAAAATAAACATCACAAGCCTTATTCGAAAGAATACTTTTTGAGTTAACACATGCAGGATGAAGCAACTGGAGAACCTTGGAGAACCTTGGAGAAAGGATGGCCTAAATGTTGGTGCCACAAATCGGCGGAAGACACACCAGGAGACACCACAAGAGAAGCAATTTCCACAGGTTTGAAGAAATACAGCCCCTCTCGTTGCTCACCCGCTCTAATCAGCATCCTCGAAGCGCGGTCCTGTATAAGACAAACATTAGAAGTGAAATAAGCAACAAATCCCGAGTCTTTCAATAACTGAGAAATTGAAATCAAATGACAATTAAAACTGGGAACATAAAGAACGTTGCTCAATTTGATAGTGTTGCTCAATGTGATTGTGCCGGTCTTAGTGGCAAGAGTAC